ATATATATATATATATATATATATATATATATATATATATATATATGAGAGAAATTACTTTGTATGGACAGTTCACAGGTAATTGGAGATGATTCGGACCAAGACGATGCCTGTGAGTATCACCATAAGCGAATAGTCGACCCTGTAGCAATTTGTCAGGACTTGGTTCAATACCAGGCACCATGTGAGCTGGATCGAAGGCTATTTGCTCCACGTCATTAAAGTAATTGTCGGGATTTCGATCCAACACTAGCTTGCCGACAGGGATGAGCGGATATTCGTCGTGCGGCCATACCTGTTTCATTTAGGAAAAACACGTTTTTAATTAAAATAAACGATACGCAATCTTCACAATTAGAAACAACAGCTATTATTAAATGAGCGACATTGAATTAAGGAAAGTTTATTATGATGGCATTTCTGTAAATGGCTATTGAAATTTTCATCAGATGAAAATAAAAAGTAAAACGATAGAGGAAGCTTCGTAATAAGTAATAGTAAATTTACACAAACTTTTATTTACATATTTTACGAAAAAATCATTTAACCAATCTCTGAAAATACGTTTATAGAATTTCCGACAGAAATAACAAACTGGACGTTTCTAGTTTTATTAGCCAACTTTTTACTGTCACTCGAATTATTAATTTTTCCACAATTAAAATCAACAGCTATCACTGCGAAATTGAATATAGCTATCAATGCGAAATAATCGATAGTCGATAGTCGATAGTCGATAGTTGATAGTCGATAATCGATAATCGATAGTCGATAGTTGATAATCGATAATCGATAATCGATAATCGATAGTCGATAATCGATAATCGATAGTCGATAGTCGATAATCGATAATCGATAATCGATAGATTCGTAATGATTTGTGTTACTCAAATATGATTCATTACTGATAAATAGCTCATTTGAATTAAAATCTGCAGAAAATGGCACAATTAATAACAGAATTAATTTACCGAGAGCTAATAGTTACTAAATTACGATCATTACTTTGGTTATATCGAAGGGATTCCATCTGAAGTTCTTCGCTTGGCTCGCAGTCATCACTTGAATGTAGAAAGTCCAAGTCGGATAATTATTTGAGGCAATTGCATTGTAAAGATCCCTGATCGAGTAATCAGGATCGCTGCTGCTTATCTCAGCCGCCTTATCGCTGAAGATATTTTTAATCCCTTGGTCGGTCTGAAACAATATCAAATAATTTCAAATTCATTAATATTAATGAATGTTAAAAGTATGAATATTAGATTACGTTAAGTCATATCATCATAACGTATATATGCATAAACTGTACATTGTACAAAACTGAACGCAATGTCCTCTTTAAAGCAGTATTTTTTTTCATTCGGAAATTTATTATGATATTTTTCTTATTCGGAAATTTATTATTTCAATTAATAGCGCTATTAACTTATTGTCGAAGCCGATGCAGTTGTCCAAGCGTTATCTATTCATTCGACCCAATTCACGCGTGTCTTTATTTATGTTCTTTGTCGTGTGTCATGCCATCCTGTATCTGCGATCGACATTCACTGCTATTTATGAAACGTATCGTTTATTCGTAACTACAAATGGCTGGATACTGGATATTAAAATTTTGCAATTCTTACGAACCTGATTTACGCATAGTTTGCAGAAACGAAACTTTCGAAAAAAGGAGGAAAAAATGTTCTTCGACTACAAATTACATCTTCTATATAAACATTCTCAAATTATTTTACACACAGGGTATATTTTATCAATTGACTACGGATCTTTTTACACATGAGGAAATAAAATAAAACTACTTGTTCAGATAATGTGTCGATCATTTACTTAATTGATCATTAATTTCAAGTGACCAAATTTAACTTCTAAACGTCTAATAAAATTTGTTAATATGTGCCATATGAAAATCTGGCAACTAATAATATTCAATCAAATAATTAAATCATTTATTCCATAATTTTCGTAACGATGTATTGATGAAATAGTAATAAAAGTAGATAAGACTTTCAAATGTAAATATGTAGATTTCGATGTGGATTACGGGATGTTACAGAAGATTATAATATTCAACTCTCTGTCTACACTTCTCAAACTCATAATCTCTCAATACTTTCCAATTGCTCACGAAAATATTCGAATAATCATAGGAACTCTTATCAACGTATTGCACAATTAGCATTCGTATATGTAAATCACTGTGCTCAGCTTTTATCAAAGGGCGACGCTTACTCCACTACTGCAGAACGAAATGTAAAAAAAAAAAAATATATATATATATAATAAAAAAAAAAAACGTACCTTGTAGTGGAATTTGCAGTAAACAATCTCGTTGTGTGCGTTGACGAGCTTGAACGTGTGAGAGCCGTAGCCGTTCATGTGACGATAACCATCGGGAATACCTCGATCCGAGAACAGGATCATGACCTGATGCATTGACTCGGTTCTTAGAGAAAGGAAGTCCCAGAACATGTCGGCGTCCTGTGCAAGA